TACCCAGAAGTCCTTTTAGTCTTTGGGTGGTGGGCAGTTTACTGTGTATCACTCATTTGTATACTTGCATATATTACTATTATTATTATAATGACTCTTTTCAATTTTATTGTAATTTAGTTATTAGACTGTTCTCTCAACCCATGAGTCTCTTTTCCCTTTACCCCTTTAATTCTCACCCCCATCCCTGGCAGGAGGGAGGGTCAGCCAGCAGTTGTTGTGGTGTTTTGCTAACCAGGGGAAAAACCATAACAAAGGGTATTAAGATCTAGATGATCTGTTTATATCAGTATTTTTTTTTTTAAATGAATATCTATGACTTAGATATTTATTCTCCATAGTGTATAAAGATGCCATTGAATTTCAGATCCAAGTTCCAGAAGGCATTACAGAACTTGTCTGTGACTCAGCAACCAAGCCTTACTAGGATAAATATAAAACCTATTCCAATTCATCTTCTTCCAGAAAATCTTGAAATAAATTATGGGTCACAACCACAAAAATTAATGCAGTCTACAAGTCAAAACAACTGAAATGGGAATTTTAGTATTTAATTGTGGAAACTTTCTGGTATATTATGTTTCTAGATTCTGCTTTAAAGGGCATCTGTTTTTGCAAATAGACCACACCTTTATTCTGTTTGTGCCCATTATTTGGTTTCTGTCAGTGAAAACTGCCAGTTTGAACTTCTGCTTTAGTGTAGATACTTGTTATATTTTCCGACCTATGACTTGTTCATGCACAGAACATAGTCCTTTTCAGTTCTTACATCCCTTTTAAATTTCCATTAGTACTACAAATACACACTGAGTTGGATCCTCTGACAGTACTTTCATCTGAATCTATTGAAAATGTCAAAAACTTTTTCAAGCAGTTTTTCATCTTCACAGGATCATTTACTCTAGACTGTAACTTCACAGTTAATCTAGAGATGTTGACTGCATGAGCTAATTTCCTTTCATAAAGGAAGTCTCAATTTCTTCATTTATCATTGAAAGGATATCTAGAAATGGCAGGTTTTGAGACCTGAAAACAAGACCTTGCTGTTTTTTCCAATATTTTCTCAGACAAATGCACTCTGTTATTAGGTAAGACCTCACTATATCTCTGGAGCTTGCAGCAGAATTTGGCCTCAGGATGCTGTCTAAAACAAACCTGAGACTTGGTCTTGAGTTGGTTTGTAGATGTTTTACAGTGACAAACAAGAAAGATTAACCAAATATTTAGTAAGACAAGATTAGTTGTTCATTTTTAATGACATGTCTTTAATCATAATTTGTATTTCTGTTTTTCTGCATATCCGTGTTGAGCATGGTGGCTTTCAAACATACGAAATATGTGGAAGCCATCCCTGTAACTGATCCTCTTTTTCAAACAACATAATCACACTCTATTACCCAAGGAATGAAGGCTGCTGCTTCCTAATAACTCACTTTAGAGTTGCTTCTGAAAACAGTAGAAAAACCACTGGCTTGAGGGGCCAGGGAAGGAAGCCTGTCATAAGCTTCTGTGAAGGCTATCAAGTCCAGCAAAGGCAAGGCTTCTGGCGATTTTTAAAAATCAATTTGATCAGCCATTTTTTCTAGTCCAAACCTAAACCAAACATCATAGTCAAAGCCCATTTGCTTCACAAATTCCTGGAATTTAATTCTAGAATGATCCAATCCAAACACTCTGTCCTGATTTTGAAAACTATAAACAAAAAAACCTGCAAAACTACAACACACAGTCTATTATTTTTTTCTGAATCTTTTATAAATCATCAAAAGACTCAAAAAGGAAAAACTGACATTTCCTTTACTTTTTCAGAGTCATGAAAGGAGATCAAATGGCTGGAGTTATTTCCTGAGAAAAACTCCACTACAGATGCCAGGAAAAAATACAGGAATGTTCTCATAACACAGAAAGAGAAGGTTAGGAAAAGGTATAGAATAGTATAGTCATCCTCGTAAGGTTCCCAGAGGCCAGGAGATAAACACAGTGAGATTATTTCTTCTAATTTCTGATTTTTTGTGTAAGGATGATTTTCAGTGTTAGTAGGGAACCAGATTTCCCCAGATTTGGTCGCTTATTGGTACCTGAAAACCATTATGTGCGGTATCATCTATACTAGCCTCTTCTATGCATAGCATCACCCAACCTATACATCTGCCACACCATCTTTTACAGTTTAGCAGTTAAATCAGATACTTGACCCTCATGTTTTTATGCACAGCTCCAATTGGTCTCATTCTTAGTAGACACCTGAAAAGATCTCTTCTCCTTCTTAATTTAGTTCCAGGTGAAGAGAAGCCCTAGCTAGCATTTGAGCTCATTGAACATACTTAAACTGAACTTTAAACATTGTTTGAGGTAAAATATTTACTGTGTCATACATAACCGAGGCAGTAGAGGGAGCTCAAAGATTTTGGTTATCAGTGAGAGAGCCAGAGAAACAGGGAGAAAGAGAATGGCAGTGCCAAGAGCAATCACAAGGACAGTGAATGGTGTGGCTTGATACTCAGACTTCTTGAAAGCTAATAGATTGTATGAATATCCCATTATTCTGCTGGTAATTTCAAATAGTAGCGAGCTTCGAGGTGCCACTTAGTGGCCAGGTTTTATTTCGCATTTGTTGCCTACTTAAGCTCTTCTGTTTACAGTTTGAAAAAAAGTATTTTTCAAGAATATGAAAGTTCTTGTTGAGTTTAATAAGTTGTTCTAATAAGTCATTCTGTGCATAAAGATTTTTAATGAATATTAAGACATAGGTACTTGAATTTCAAGGATTACAGTAAGTAAAATTGGTAAGAGAGTGACAATTGGTAAAATACTGAACTGCAGTGAATTGGCTTTTGTTCAACAATGCAGAAATTCATTTTGTAAAATAATGCAAGATGGTTTTGTTTGTAATTTTAAGATAGAAAGATTTTCATATTTTTTAGAAGATGTTAATCTTCAGTGTTGGGGAGAAGTAAATCTAAAATACATAGTTGAAAGTCCTATCTACATAAAAACGTTTGATCTTGTGCAAAGGAAGATTTGAGTCTCTGAGAGGTCAACAGCTGCTGACCATAAGCAAAAGTCTGTTTTGAACTGTATCAGTGAATGCATTATAAACAGAACACCAGCATTATGAAGGCAGCATTCGTCCTAAGGTCAAAGTTTTGCTTAATTGGATCCAAACAGTCTTTGGATGCATATAATTGATAGAATGAAAAATCCTGTGGTTCTGACCAGGCTTGGTATTTTCTCTCACATTCTACCTGGAACTATTTGTTACAGATCAGGTTGTGGTCTGTCTCAACTGTTTTAATTGGCTTTCAAGGCAACACAGAACAGAATGTGGTTTCATTATAAGATAGAAGTATTATACCAACTTACTATGTTGTCCTGAAAGGATATTATTATAATTCTAAATTTCTCGGGGAGAAAATACACTTGAGATGTGAACTCAGACACCCTCTTCCCAAATTCAGGACAATTTATTTTAAGTGGTAGAAATTTTATTTTTCCATATAATCCTTTTTATAGTGATCTAATTGCTGGATCTTTGCACTTTACTGACCCTGTGGTCTGTCTCCTGCTTTGTACCAGATTCACCCATCCAGCCGTTAAAAAGTGGCTGTGAAGCACTATTCTAATCATGTAGGCATTTTTTAATCCTCTGATCAAACCTGAATGAATTTCCTTGGATGCCATGTCGATCTGTTTGGGATTTGCAATCTGGCAAAGCACCCAAATACAAATTGAAGTAATTTTCTACCTGAAAAAAATAATCTCCCTCTCTCAGTAACGTTTACCGCTATGATCCAAGGTGATTATGATGAGGCAGATGTGAACGTCACTTTGGAGACAAGGGGCATAAATATTTGACGTTTATGTTATTGACTTCCTAATTACAGGCCCTTGGCTATAAGCAAAGATTTTATTTTTGCTTTTACTGGTAATTCTGAAGGATGGCTTTTGCTCAGTATTATTACTTTATTGTCTTTTTTTTGTTGTTGTTGCTGGCTAGGCCAATTATTTTTAGCCTGTGTTCTGTCATTCAAGTATGTATCCTGACCCCTGAAATTGTTGGAATTTCAGAGTATTTACTATATTTGGATCTTACAAATTCCCAGAGTTCTTCTTTCATCTCTCCATAATTTAACCCTCTCTGTCTCCAAATTACCATGTAACTGTTTTGAAGATATTTATTTGCCTTTCTTCAAAATATGTGAGACACTTGTATGGAGAATGAATGCCCATATCTCCTCTGTCACCAAATTTTAATATGTAAACCTGTACTCCAAGTTATTAGCATATATGTTTCCCCTGTTAAATTAGATTATCCGAGTTATTTTTGTTGGTTCACAGTTCAATATCTAGTTTTACTGTCTTTAGACTTTGACCTCTCTTTCTCCTTATTTCCTTAAAATCTCCAGTCTTTTTGTACTCTATCTTCTGCCTTTCTTTAATAGACAAATTGTAAGTGTATGTGCAAAAAGTGCGCAATCCATTTATATTTACCCCACTCTTAGAATTCATAATCAAATTTTATATATCAGATGACCATTTTAGGTATTTTGTTATCTCTGTGCAATAGCTTTATGGAAGAAGAACTTTTAAAATAAAGTGTACATCTCCATATGCACTGTATACAATGAAATTATAAAATATTGTTGACAAAGCAACTTAGTGAACTGACATTTTTGAGGTTAGAAGTGTGGAACACTATAGAAACTAATACCTATCTAATTGAAAATAATGAGTTAATTCCAACTGTCAAACAAAAATTTTGGAGAAATAATAAAAAAAATCAACCCTTGGCTTTACTTTTACTTGTGTGTTTGATGGTATAACAATGGATTTTCTGTTAGAAAAATCAGCTGCCAAATTGAATGTTCTCACATTCTGTTCTCAGAATTGGATTTTCTTTTTAATTTAGTTCCAGGTGAAGAGAAGCCCTAGCTAGCATTTGAGCTCATTGAACATACTTAAACTGAACTTTAAACATTGTTTGAGGTAAAATATCTTACCATGGTTGTCTCTGCAATGGATCCAAAGCTGTTTATAAATATGTTGCATGTGACATTAACTGGAGGGCCTGCAAAAGAAATAAAAAACCAGTCCCTGTTCCAGAATTATTGCTTATTGAGTGACTGTAAAATAGAAACCATTATGAAACAATTTTTATTGACTTAGGAGGAACTAATGCTACACTCACAACTCATTTAATGCAAGATTAAATTGGATGGTTTCTAGTAATCTCCCTTTTGAGTTTTCTCAAAGGGACACTACTTGACTGGCCAGTTCTAGCAATTAAAAAAAGCGAGAAAGTTCATTATAAACTTGCACAGATGATTCTATACAAAAAACCCAACATCCTATTTGAAATATATAGTAAAAAATATTTTCATATGCGTTTCAGTGAGCAATGTGTGTCACTTCTTACAACAAATAGGGGAAAAAGTGACCTTTTTCACTCAAGGCAGCTGCTACCTTTTATGTTATCTGTCATCACTTGTAACAGAAATACATTATTGCTGCTGTTATCTCTACTTCTTACAGGAACAAATGGATAAGGAAGAATTCCTTAGATTCTATTCCCATTTCTCTTAAATCCACAAAATAGTTAAGAATCCATTTTAACTGAATTTTCTGTTGCCATGGGCCTTCAGTCAACTGTTGTTCTCTCTTATCTTGCATTTGTGAAGCATCAGTAGTGGCAGAGCAGTCATGATAACTGAACAATGAATCATCTCTTCATGGAAAAGGTTTTAAATTATTTTTGTGAAAGTCTCTGTAAAAATGGCATTATGGTAGACCATGCTAATTTCTCCATTATTTCTTATCAATTTCAATTTCAGTCTGTGTACAGCAGCAACAAGGTTTTTTCCATCATAAGGTTTTTCTGTCACCCTCCTGCACCTTGATATTCTTCTATCAATAACCCAGTTCAACGCTGGAGAACCTGATTTCTTTTTGCAGTTTAAGCAGTCACTAATAATGAAAGATCTGTATTTGGAATTTGAGGACTGGTCTTACAAACCTTTAGGTAATATTTCTTTTTTAGGGTCGCTGAAGTAAGAAGCTGCTCTGTCACTGCTGGTGATTTGCAACTAGCAAAATCTAATGTGACCAATGAACCTGATGTTAAATACTTGAAGAATCAGAACGTCCATTAAAAATTCTGCCAACAGGACACAACTTGGAACATCCAGCTTTCTTTCCTCTAGGCAATAATTGTTTTGAAATATTGTATGACAATTGCAACAGAAAATCACTACATGTACTTCAGTCATTATAATACACAAGACTACACCTATGGAGCAGAATTCTCAGGTAAGGAGTTATCCCTCTGCAGTCATTTTGACACTATTTTTAAAAATTTGATACTTGGTTAATTATTTAGAGCTGTTGAGCATATCCAATGCTTCTAAGAATTCAGTAAAAGCTCGACATTGACAGCTCCTGAAAAGGATCAAGGGAAAAAGAAAAAGGGGAGAAGAACAAATGCAGAGTTTCTAAAAACTGTCAGGGAGAGAATTCTACTTCCTGGCTATATCAGATAGTTTGTTTGCAAGGCAGCTTTCCTTTCAGACACTTTTATGTTGTAGTACTTGTCACCATTTCAAATTTGGGATACTATCTTGGTTAAAATAGTGCTATGCTTTAAAGTGTAAGTTTGCTATATCAACAAGTGCTGCTTTTATGAAGAAAAAGCCATGAATCACTACAGCGCTGGTGCTTAATTTCAAAAGCAGCACTACAAAAATATAGTTAACAGTTAGCTAAAAAAAAACATAAAGGGAGAGGCTAAAAGCAGCTTGCAGACATTTTAGAGATCACTTAAAGATACTGTGCTGAGAGTACAAATGAACTTCCAAAAACATGGTCAAAAAGGAGAACAAATGAAGCTACTGAAACTGGACATCATATTCACAAAACAGGAACTCAGGCAAGTTGAACATAGATTAAAGAGAGAGGGGGAAAAAATAGAGCTGAAACTCGCTAGAGACAGAAAAGCTAACAATGATAACCATCTGCAAGGCGTTAAAAATAGAATCCTGCCAAGATCTAGAAGGTGAAATCAAGAGAACATGATTAAGATATAAAAGTATCCGTGAAAGTGAAGGTCAGAGCAGAAAAACTAAATGAAGTCTTTGTAACAACATTTGCCTCCAGTTGCTGGCCTTGTCAAATACTGGACCCATTCTGATGTAAGATTTGTATGAGGACTGTAGAAGACATTTCGGTTTAAGTGAACAGGAACAAACTAGCAGGCTGAGGTGATATCAAGGCAGGCATTATAAAAATATTTGCAAAATTGAGGAAATATGAATCACTGTGAGTCAGCTATCACCTGTGTCAGTTTTGTTATCAGTGGAAATGTATACCATGTCCAGCAAGTATAACTTGAATTAAAAAAGAAAAACATATTTATCTAAATTACTTTTTGAGTTAAGTTCTGACTTAAGAAGTTCCTAAATTAATGGTTGCTTAATACTGTTTGTTAACACCAGGGCAAGGAACACTTTACACTTTCCTATATAAGTCCCAAAATTTCCACCTTAATTGATTATTTTCAAAGGGTACAATCTGGACCATACAGATTTAAAAATATAACACCTCTTCTACACCAGCTTAATTCTGAGCCATGACAATTTTTACATACAGATTACATAACTGTGTCCAAATGTTGAAAGACAATGAAGTATTTCCCATATTTGCTGAAACAGATATAGTCTGGGATGTGGAACAGCTGATTAAGAGAAGTACTTTGAAGTTTTGAAACCTTGAAGGTTTGAAGTACTGGAAATAAAAATATTTTGCAATCAAAACAAAGATTTTACAAGAGTTATTGATTTTCTGTTTTATTCCAACAGCTAGATAAATACCAACAGTCTTCTCTATTATTTCTGTTGAACAAGAACAGATATGCAGAATTCCTTATCCAAAAGCAGGGCACTCAGACAAAATATAAAATTATGTGTTATTGACCAAGATTAATTATGACTGAAAGATGGTGATTAAAATCTGGTCTACACAGGAATTTTATTGAAAGAACAAATGATGCAAAATGATCATCTGAGTTCTCTTATTAGTACTCATTCTGTTTCTTAAACACTGTTGCCAAATTAAAAACTTAAAAAGGTATTAAGTCCCAGCACTTGTTCTAGGACTAACAAAACTATCCAGAAAGTGGCGAAGTAATTTGAGGAGACACTTATTCTTAGTGATAGATCTGAATCATTCTGGGCAGATTTGTTCAAACTGCGTAGCTGTCTAGAAGATTTAGAATGTGCACTTTTTGAAAAAGAACAATGTCAAATTAGGTCTTGTCTCTTTAAATTTCAATAGTTACAAAACAAGGCTCTAAGTCTTTTGAATCATAGTTTCAAGAAGTACTGTATTGAATTTGCTAATCTCTCAACCATCTGCCTGTTCTTCACTGTAACCCCATTAGAAGATTGTGATTGCATGGTGTCCATGACAACCTCCAAAATTCAATCCCCAAATCAACTTTTAAGATGTAAGTAAATAATTTTTAAACAGTTTTTTGTAGGACTTCAGGAGACTCAAAGAAGAAGAAAAACTGCAGTGCTTAGACTTTGCCTGAGGTCTTCTTTTGCCCAGCACAGCTTTACCTTAGGTTGAACCTGCAGTTTGCGTGCTAAAGACTACACTGTGGCAATAAGTCAAGATAACTTTAATAAGGAGCAAAAATAATTTGAGAGCTACCATTCATACAAGAAAGTAATTTTAGAAATAGTGTTTTGCATTTCTTTTGAAAATATTGTTTGATACATTAACCCTTCAGGAAGCCAGACACTGGAACATTCTTCAATGTAACTCTGGCAAGGAAAGTCCAAGGGACTTATTGTGTATGGTCATCAGGAATATTGATCACTGTTGTAAATCTTTTAGCAATGTGTTTGAATTTCCAGTGCAAGTTTGTCATAATCTGCGAAATATCAGCGCCACTAACTTATTAAAAGCAAAGTATTTCCAGCTGCAGTAAATCCTGGGTAATAAGTTTATATATACAGCACCAACTATTTATGGCTTACTGGTGAGGAAGTAATTAGACAAACTACTTACTTGGTCCTTATGAATCAGTCTGGGCAAATTCTGGAAAAACTAGCAAATACCAATGTCTTTAGTGTCATAAACACTTAAGTTTCTGGGACTTGAAGATGTAAAAAAATTATTAAATTTAGTGCTGAATAAGAATTAAAATAGAAAGGCAGAGACAGATGACTTAGAGGAGGAAGACCTGTCTGCTTGAAGGAAAAGTTTTGTAGTAAGCATGGAGTAAAACCTGCCTTATAGTGAAATGTTAGAGCTAAGAGAATCTCTTGGACTCAAGAAGATAGGCATACGAGGAGGCAGCTAAGGCAAAGTAAGAATAGTATGATTTTTAGTCAGAATAGGTTTATCCTTTCAAAAAAACCCCTATACTTTGGAGAATTTAAAGACTGATAACTTGATTTAAAGATTCAGAAACACTATATTATTGGAACTCTCTACATTCTAAAAAAAAAAAGAAAAGTAAAATTTACCTAAACCTGCCAGACTGCAAAAGTTAGAATGGGTAGTATTTGTCTGTACAATAGTTTGTATATTTGTATAATAATATAGTTTGTGTAATCCTTTACTAAATACTCTACTGTAGCATGCCTGAGCCCGCATGATATGGTTTGCCCTAAGACACTCAGAAGAGGAAATAATTGCACCTGCAAACTTTGGATTTCCAATCTTCTTTTAAACTCCTTTATCTTGTTTGAATCTCCTTTTTGATAAGTGCATAAAAGGCACACACAAAGAGACAATTCCAGGTGTTGAGAACCTGCAGTATCAGCAGAGAACTAAGAACAGGGAGAGGAACAAAATGAAAGATGGTCCCTTTTGCCATTTCAAAGCAGAACTGGGGGGCAGGAGTGATTAATCTAGTTAGATGATGGCTTGGGTAACTGAGATGAGCTCTCTTGAGTTTGATGGTCATCTCATTAACATACTCTTTCTTTTAGTTAGGATCAGGCAGGTATGAGGATTTGGCCTCTCTTTCACAGAACTTGCTTTCTGGAGTGCTTCAGGCTATGGTAGTCCAAGGTAGTCCATTAACAAACATTTCAGGAAAGAAAAAAAATAAAGCAAGACCCTATTAGACAATTCAAATCTAGTGACAAGCTATATTACTACTGAAATGAATTGTCATCGCAAAGAAAGGCAAAAGAAGGCACTTCTTTCTTTCAGTATTTTTTTCATATTTCTTCTAGAAACTGCATTTGTGTAAGAAAAATACTGAGATACTGAAAATCTGAAAGTTTAGGTTTGAAATTACCTTTGAAATTTGGTCTGATCCTTGCATCGTAGCCTGACATCCTACCCATTAGCTTATCCAGGAAATCAGATGGCGACATTGGCATGCTACGAGATCTTGCGCTGTCTGTTTCCTTTGTGGCTACCAGGCTAATAGCAAAGAAGAACAAACAAAAAAAAAGCAGAACAAAACATTTCATTAGAGAAACTTGAATTTTATGCAGTCAATCACTTAGTTCATTCTTGTACAAACAAGAAAATAGGAAAGCTAAGATTGCCTTTCAAGCTTGTTTGTGCTTCAAAAATAGCTGTAACAAAGAAATTGAAACAGTAAGTTCTTTTTATATCTGTCATTTTATATGCAAATTTTATTTTGCTAAGCTTCACCATTATAGGTCGCTGTTACCTCTTCCTCAGGACTTCTCGAGAATAATAACAGAGGCAGTCAACAGTAATCAATTAATTATAACAGAGTTAAATAATGTCATCTACACAAATAGCTGTGCATGTGGAACATCATAATTTGGAGTCTACTCTAAGATTGGTCTGTTTAACTGGGTGTGGTGTAATAGAAGCCTAGACCAGAAAAAAAAAAAGTAGTAAAGATCTTTCAGAGGGTAGTACTACTGCCATCAATTTTTGTTCAGCCTACGTTTAATGTTGAAATTTAAACATAATACAGCATATCAAACCGTTTCTTGGCAAATGGTATTCTTTGACATTGTCTTAGAGTTTTGTTTTCTGCTAAAACAAAAGTGACTGCTGCCATGGAAAAAACCCCACAAGTTACTGAAGGAACTATCTTGGGGCAAAATTTTCATCTCAGGGCCACATGGCAAATGTCATCTCCTATAGCCTCCTCTCCATATGTATGCAGAACTCCCACTGACATTCTAAAGCGTGCTCTGCACATGCCAAGAGACAAGAGTATCAGCACTACAAAGCAGCTATGTGGAACTGAAGAAAAGGTCTTTATTGCTGTGGAACTCTTACATGAGTACTAGCCAACACATTGAAAAAACAACACAGTCAGTAAATATATATATATAAATAAAATTATGAATAACATTGTGACAACAGTGCAACTACAACCATTCATGGCTTTTGGAGTCTCACAAAAGATAAAGAGCTTTTCCTGTTTTTGCTGACTTCTAGTCAAAAATCTTTTACAGAAGAATGTGAATCTCTTTTATTTACTCACTCATTGTCCCCTGCTAATGACAATTCACTCTTTTAGAAGTGCTTAAATATGCCTTTGTTTAGAAGTAAACATGGGGAACAATGTAAAACTCTTAGGAATTTTCTAACTCCTAAAAAACCTGTGCTTAACTTTGCTTGTTAACAATGGGTAGAGTTCCAGAATGGAAAAGTTCCATAGAGCTATGTCTATAAGCAGATGCCATGTTAAGTACAGACTGGGAATGTTGTTTTTTTCCTCCCAAGGCTGTGTTACTCAGGACACGAAAAATCACAGTTTTATAGCAACTTCCATTTAGAAGGTCTATTAAAAAAATCTGTGTTTGAATTTGCAATTTGGATTCAATATCTTAAGTAAAAAATTATTTAATATTAAGTCTTGAGTGTTACAAATTTGGACACTGTCATGTTGGAACAGGTTGGCCAGGGAAGTGGTTGGATCACTATCCCTGGAGGTATTTAAAAGACGTGTAGACGTGGCACTTAGGGACATGATTTAGCGGTGGACTTGGCAGTGTTAGCTTTAACGGTTGGACTCAATGATCTTAAAGGACTTTTCCAATGTAAACAATTCTATGAATCTATGTTTTAGGCCCAGCTGGTAGGAGCACCACACAGCCACTCACTCACTCCTCCCCCTCCAGTGGCAGGTGGAGGAGAACAGGAAGAACAACAGGTAAAACCTTGTGGGTTGAGACAAGGGCAGGGAGAGATCACTCACCAATTATGGTCACAGTCAAAACAGACTCTATTTGGGGAAAAAAAAGGTGAATTTAATTTGTCACCTATCAAATCAGAGTAGGATAATGAGAAAAAAACACAAATCTTAAAAAAAAAAAAACAAAACCACCTTCCCCCCACCCCTCTCTTCTTCCCAGGCTTAGCTTCACTCCCAGTTTTCTCTACCTCCTTCCCCTCAGCGGTGCAGGGGGATGGGGAATGGGGTTTGAGGTCAGTCCATCACACGTCTCTGCTGCTCCTTCCTCCTCAGGGGGAGGACTTCTCACACTCTTCCCCTACTCCAACGTGGGGTCCCTCCCATCAGAGACAGTCCTCCATGAACTTTTCTGACATGAGTCTTTCCCACAAGCTGCAGTTCTTCACTAACTGCTCCAACATTGGTCCTTTCCATGGGGTGCAGTCCTTCAGGAACAGACTGCTCCATCATGGGTCTCCCCACAGAGTCATGGCCTCCTTTGGGCACAGCCACCTGCTCCAGTGTGGGGTCCTCCCTGAGCTGAAGGTGGATCTGCTCCCCCATGACCCTCCCTGGCTGCAGGGGCACAGCTGCCTCACCATGGGCTGCAGGGGAATCTCTGCTCCGACATCTGGAGCACCTTCTCCCTCTTTCTGCACTCACCTGGGTGTCTGCAGAGTTTTTTCTCTCTCATCCCATTCCTCTCCCTGCTACAGATTCAGTGCAGGTTGTTGGTTTTTTTTTTTTGTTTTTTTTTTTTTCTCTCCTCATAAGTATGTTATTCACAGAAGTGCTCCTACCATCGCTGACTGACTCAGTCTTGGCCAGAAGTGGGTCTGACTTGGAGCCGGGGAAGGTCCTAGCAGCTTCTTACAGTAGCCATTCCTGTAGCCCCTTCCCCCGCTACCAAAACCCCACCACACAAACCAAATACAGACATGCACAGAATATGAACATAAGAACCTCTAAAATGCTGTGGTTTACTCATATTTTAATTAAATCTGGCAATTAAGTATTTTAATTGTAATATTAACTGAAATCAGAGAGTTAAAATTAATCTTTCTGCTTATTTGCTTATCTAGTGTTTAGTCTATTCTCTGTGTAAGTTGATTTCCGTATTTCTAGATTGTTCATACATTTCTAAATTCTTGGATATTTATAAATTGTTCTGAATATTTCAGTACCTCTTTCAGTATTATCTTTCACTAAAAATGTTTCTTTAGTCTCCTTCAGTAGCTAATCTACTTCTTTATTTCTTCCCATAGCTGGAGAATGTATTTCCCTTTCTGAGAAAGTAAGTACGTAGCATATTCTTTTTCTAGTTCAATTTTGAAATTATCCCATTGGCCTCTAACATAATATTAATTGTCAATCATTCTGAATGTATCTGACTTGTCACATTATTGCAACTCATAATCATTTATATTTCCATAAAACTTCATATGTGGTTATAGAGCAAATAAAATATTAGAATACAATTACACGTTACTGCGTTTAAACATTTGCAAGTGTTCTGGTTTCAGCGGGGTTAGACCTAACTTTCATCTTAGTAGCTAGAATAATGCTGTGTTTTGGATTTGGTATGAGAAAAATGTTGATAATATACTGATGTCTTCAGTTGTTGCTAAGAAACAGGTGCACAAGAAGCTGGGAGGGACCATAGCCAGAGCAATGGATCCAAATCAGTCAATGGGATATTCCATATCACACAACATCATGCTCAGTATATAGATGAGGGTTGGCTGGGAAGACGTCTTTCTCTTCTGGAATAGCGATTTCAGGATTTTCTCTCCTTCCGGTTTGCTAGCTAGGAACAGGCTGGGCCTTGGTCAGCAAGCGGTGAGCAGTTGCTCTGTTTATCACTTGTTTGTATAGTCTATCATCATCATCATCATAATTTTTATTTTAATTTTAGTTAATTTTTTAAATTGTTCTTATCTCAACCCACAAGTCTCCTTACCTTTACTCCTCCAATTCTCTCTCCCATTCCCTGGGACAGGAGAGGGTGGGAAAGAGGCTGTGTGGTGTTTGGCCACTGGCTGGGTTTGAACTATGACAGCAAGGCAAGAGAATCAAGTTACTGTGTATACACATGTATAAATATAAGACTTAACTTTCTTTCTTGTACTCTTATAGAAGAATCACAGAATCACAGGATGTTAGAGATTGGAAGGGACCTTGAAAGATCATAAAGTCCAATCCCCCTGCCGGAGCAGGAACACCTAGATCAGATCACACAGGAACGCATCCAGGCGGGCTTTGAATGTCTCCAGAAAGGAGACTCCACAACCTCTCTGGGCAGCCTGTTCCAGTGCTCTGTCACCCTCACCATGAAGAAGTTTTTTCTCATATTCAAGTGGAACCTCCTATGTTCCAGCTTGCACCCATTACCCCTTGTCCTGTCACTGGATGTCACAGAGAAGAGCCTGGCTCCATCCTCCTGACACTCACCCTTTACATATTTATAAACATTGATTAGGTCACCCCTCAGTCTCCTCTTTTCCAGGCTAAAGAGACCCAGCTCCCTCAGCCTTTCCTCATAAGGGAGATGCTCCATTCCCTTCATCATCTTTGTGGCTCTGCACTGGACTCTCTCCAGCAGTTCCCTGTCCCTCTTGAACTGAGGGTCCCAGAACTGGACACAATATTTCAGATGTTACATTTCTGTTCTCTAGGATATATAGAATTCCTACCCTACACAATATATATGTCCCATATTTTTATTCTGGATTTAAATAGATTATCCAGAACAGAAGTATAAAAAAAGCCCATTAAGTATGGGTCACTGTTTCTGAACTGAGTATTTGTTTGTCTGTCCTTTTTTCAGTTCTCTGAACTTTTTCTAAATTTTTTTTTTTTTGTATTTGTTGATTTTAAAGGCTGTCATGGAATAGAGTACTTCAAAATTAGGGCAACTAACGATGAACAGGAAAAATAGTAGTTGCTGTGACTATGGATTTTCTCAAAATGGCATTTACCCTTTTGTATTATAACATCAGTAATGTTTTCTTTCATTAGTCAGTTAAAAATCTCAGAATATCTTGAATAATTTTATTGCCTGCTTCTGCGTCATGGTTTAATGCTAGCCAGCCATAAGCCCCACACAGCTGCTCACTCAGCGCTCCTGGTGGGATGGGGAAGAGACTTGGAAGTGCAAAAGTAAGAAAACTAGTGGCTTGAGATAAAGATAGTCTAATAAGTAAGCAAAAAACATGCATGCAAGCAAAGCAAAACAAGCAATTCATTAATGATTTCCTGTTGGTAGGCAGGTGTTCAGCCATCTCCAGGAAAGCAGGACTTCATCATGCATAATGGTTACTTGGGAAGACAAATGCCATAACTCTGAAGGTCCGTCCCCCCCACCCCCCACTTCCTTCTTCTTCCCCCAGCTTTATATGCTGAGCATGACATCATGTGGTGTGGGATATCCCTGTGGTCAGCTGGGGTCAGCTATCCCAGCTGTGCCCCCTCCCAACTCCTTGTGCACCCCCAACCTCCTTGCTGGTCGGGTGCGGTGAGATGCAAAAAAAGCCTCGACTCTGTGTAAGCACTGCTCAGCGATAACGAAAACATTCCTGTAATATCAACACTGTTCTGATCACAAATCCAAAACACAGCCCCATACCAGCTACAATGAAGAAAATTAACCCTATCCCAGCCAAAACCAGCACATTCTGAAAACAATATGTTCAGCATAACTAATACATTTTGTGTAAGCAAATTTGATTTTAGAAATCAGCTGTAATTTGTAACTAAATATTTCTCTGAGGAATGTTTTCCTTTTTTCTCAGCTTGGTGTGTTGCTGAGTAAAAGCTGGTTGAGCACTGCTGAATTGTGCACTTTCAAATTACCTTTAAGCAAAAAACCTGTATTTCAAGAATACTGTTGGACAAATAATAATTTAATCTATCCAAGCAGAATTGTGGAATACTCTTTGAGTTAAAAAGGGGAAAGACTTGGTAATACAGTAAGACCTGAGTGAGGCAGTGGATTTTAGGAAGTCCTGCCTTGCAAATTATGGGTTATCTGTTTGTGAATTAACATAAAAATTAGTTCTGTATGGTAAGGATTCTTCAGTTTTATTGTACATTGCCTCGGAAAAATAAGCCACTGGCTAAGTGGTTAGAGAAAGTTACACTCCTTTCATGAAGTAAGAATTTAGCTCCTTTTAGTGTTAAGGCACATAGATTCCTCCTGAGTACACAACTGTTACATAATTCCAGGAATGACTTTGTGCACCTCTAGAGGGAATTTACTCTGACCTATTGTATTTTTAAAAATAATTTGTGCATGCATTTTCTAAAAGGCAGAATTACAAGAATTTCATATCAGCAAAACTTTTATACTGTGGTGCATTCAGAAGTAAGATACAACAGACTTGTGGTTAGCATAAAGTGATTATACAGCTTAAAGTTACTGAGAAGGAAAGCTGTACATTTTTGTTCACAGACAGAAGCAATGAAGGCTTTCTATTGCTGAAGTCTTTCATTGGAGAGAGATTATAACCTCTCAGACTTCTGGTCTATTAGTATTTTACCAGGAAAAGTTACCAACAGGAATGCTAGCCCTAGTAGTGATTCTGTGTTATTCTTGTGAGATACTGCTGAATATTACTAACGATTATAAGAGTTTAAACCATCTTCAAATTTGAGACTTAAACCAGTACTTTATTTTACTTTCCTGAATGTGTCCTGAGCATCTTTACAATGTAACTTAAGTCTTGCCAAACAATTAAAAAGACATTTGCTAACTAAAGTATTGGACAAAAATAAAGAAAAAATGAAAAATACTGTCACACAATGAATTTGAATAATCATTTGTGACCGGCTGAATTTACACCATCAAAAGTTAGGGTAAAATTTTTTGTTCCAAATAAGCTGGTGTACAAAAGCAGGCATGAACAGAAAATTGGAATCACCAGAACTATAATTACTCCTGTCTTTGGTCTATTCTGTCTGTTAAATCAAAGTTCACCTAAAATCTGAAGAGAGATGAGCTTTGCATTATGTCGTGGAGACTGTCAAGTTGTAATTTCATGAACTGAGATACGCAAATATACTGGATCACAGGTCTGTGACAGTGCATGACCTACCAAAAGTCATATTTAAGTCAGAAATGGTTAGGTCAAGCTGAGGACATTTAGATTGGGATATAAATTTTAGAAAATAAGAAGCAGCCTGGTGCAGCCAAGATGTGTTTTCACTATATCAGAACTCACGTGCTAAATTCTAGACAAAGAGGTACTGCAGGGAGTTGTAGTAAGAATGCTGTTCAGCACTGCCATCTATGATCTGGAAAGAAAATACAAAATCATTGATACATTAAAATGAAGAATTGCAAAAAATGGACAGATGTATAAATATTGATGAGGGCAAGAAAATAACAGTTTCTTAAGTTCAGTCTATTTAAGTAGGACAGTTTAATACAATCAGAGAAAGGATATTAAGAGATAAATACATTGAGAATGTGGGCAGAGTTGGAGACAGCAGTGAGTCTGAAGAAAGGTTCAGAATTCATGTTGAACAACTCAGAACTATTGTGATAAAGTTCTCACTGCACTACTGTGTTATCCATTGGGGTGAAAAGAATGAAAGAGTAAGTAGGAGCATAAAGATCACTTATTAGTTTATATGATTTTAATGAGATCAGTTCTGTGACATTATATCAAATTCCATGTCCAAGTTTTAAAATGACATTGAAACATTAGGAAAGATACTGAGCAAAGCCACTAAACCATAATCTGAGAGTTGGTGAAATTTTCTTACAGTAAGAGATTTTAAGAGCTCAATCTGCTTAGTTTATCAAAAAGAAGATTGAAAAAGAAAATTATTGAAGTGTATAAATACCTCAAAGAGACAGAAAATGCTGGACATTTATCTAAAGAAAAAAGAAGAAAAATCAATAAGAGACAGACAAATTTGAATGGCAATTTAGGCACATAGTTTTAATAATGAAGGTAACTTAAAAGAAGATCAAACTGTACCAGCCAAGACAATACAACTTTCTGGAAAAAAAATTGACAAAATATAAGGTATTGTGTTTCATATATAGGTAGCTTGGTGAAAAAGAGTGACCTCTGATATATAGAAAAGCAGACGAAATTCAGATTAAACGTTACAAATCTCATGCAGAAATCTTGTGCCAAAAGACACATTACAGACTTGAAGAGGTTAAGGAAGTGAAGCAATGGGAGTGGCTCAAAGGGGAAAAAGGTTTCTTCTCAGAGTCCTTCTACGCTGAGGCTGGGTTGCAGGCTTGCAGGTGCCTATACTGTAACCTGTAATCTAGGTTGCAGGTTACACGAGTTAATGTTGGCCCATTTTGCTCAGTTCCATTCACAGTGAGGTATTTGACTTGCCCAGCACTTGTATGAGCATCAGCTCCCTGCACAGAATGGAAACTGCACTTGAGCTGCCCATAAACTACAGGCAGATTGAAAAACAGATTGACTGCTACTAGGAAAAAATGAGTTTGTGGTCTATTTATGACATGCACCTGCAAAGAGGAAAGAATTTTAAGCTAAAAGATAACTTTGTCATGAAAGCAAATGCATATGAAGAGACGAGGATTAAATTTAGATCATAAATTAAAAGGCTTTCAGCCACTGAAACACTTAAGTTCAGGAACAGTCTAGGACTTTAAGTAGAGATAGAAAAGCCCTGTGTGTTTCAAGATGGAGCTAGATACTAGGATGCTGTGACATATATGACTGTGATTGCAAATGATGGGACTCAGTTCTTTTCTAAGCTCTCTGCTGAGAATATGTTTACATTATTATTCTTGTATGTGTTTAAAATAATTACTACTACAGAACTCAGAAAAAAAAAACAGCAGCTGGCAATTTAGCTAGCAAGAGAAAGCATGGGTCATGAATCTGTGCCCCTGAAATGTCTATTTAAAGTGTTTGTGAGAGAAAGACTCACTCTCTCTTCCCTTCCTCCAAAAGAAAATGATTAAGAAAAACTCTTCAAAGGGAATTTCAAGATCTCCACAAAAGTTTCCTTTTCTAAAACATTTAAAGCTACAAAGATCAGATTGCTTTCCCGTGTTTTTTTGAAGGACCAAGTTATTTCTACTGATAAGCTGTCTGTTTTCTATCTTCCCCAAACTTCTACAGATTTTTGCTAAAGCACAAATAAAGGAAAGGAATTTTACAAATGGAAGTGCTTTGTATATGTTATTTTAAATGTTACATTTTCACAAGCAATTTCAATCATACTGCCTTTGAGATTTTTGTATCATTTGTGTGCCACAGAAAGTAGTTTTACTGTTTTACACTGATGTCTCTCTTTCAAACTTTTTATTGTCACGGTGAGTTCTTAAAAATAACTTTCAGTGCACTGTTTCAACCTTAAAAGATTATCCATTTATTTGAAAATATTGAAGAAAAGTAATGCACTACTGTCAACATTTGTATGAGAAAGTTTGTAGCCCTCCAGAAGAGCTTAATAAGAATAGTATAGACAAAAGGTGGAGGAAGAAAGTATGTCTTACACCATTTGCTGACTCTTTCAAGTTTGTTGCTGGAACAGGTGGATGACAGAGATAAAGTATGGTGTGCTGTAATGATATCCTCCTCTGGAAACTTCACAAAGAAAAGCTTTACAGTCCAAGTTAGAGCACTCCCTTAATTTATCCAAGTTATTCTAGAGTTTCACTTACCTTTGAATACAATTGATACAATTAATCTTTGAATTGGATAGTATGTTCATTTTCTTCCTTCCATAGTTAAACTGCCTATGCATTTTATCTTGAAAAGCTTATATTAATACCAACTTACTGTCATATTTGGCTTGCTGATTTGTCTTATCTGATCATAAATTATCTTTTTAATCTCGAACACAATCCATTTTAGCCATTCAGAGAAGTAGAAGTTTTGTATTTCATCTTACAATGCATACTATAGCTGTTATATGATGTTTTGCATGCACTATGATGGTCCAAGAGCGCTTTCATTTCATTACTTAGCTTATTCTTAAGATAGCAAGTGTGGCCAAATCTTTGGAGCAGTTGGATCTTGTGTTTGCGGTCCAGTCTCTCCAGCTGATGTTTGAATGTTTTTATGCACTTTATGTTAAAAAGCTTTGCAGAGAAGCTCAAGGAAATTAATTACACACTCATAAGGAAAGTAAAAACTGCACCCAGCCAATATGCACCCTGTTGCATCTCACAAGCAGCAATGCGCAAAAATATTTCAGTAAATTAATCTGAGTTGGTACTTATTCACTGGTTCATCAATAGTGGTTAAGTGAATTACTCTCATGACTACTTCCCTTGATTCTGTAACTGTAAGTAATGGTGATAGAATTAATCAATTTTAAACCAAAAATTATTCAATATAACCATGTAATTAACAAGGTCTGCTAAAATGAAATGATCCTCAAATAGATGGTGTCTTATAATTGCATTTTAAAAATTGTGACAGTAGAGTTTTGTAGTATGAAGACAGTATTTAAACCCTCTTCTGTGAAATAGAGATCTCTTAATAAAATGTATTTATTCATGGGAAAAATGAACATTATGTTTGGTGAAAAGAGGACATTAAGAGGTCAAAAGCGTAGGGTTTTTTTTTTGTAAAGGGAGTGTCTCTAATTATCTGATCTATTAATTAAAGTAGAAAAAGAACTAAAAAGATCAGTT